AGTTAAGGTAAAAACAGATTTTTTATACCTTTGATTTGTCACCAAAAGAGGTTTTAAGATGTAAGCAAGAAATTAAACCCTCATCTGCTTTAAGATGTTGCGGAGCAGCGCAGCTTCACACTGCCAGACTGCTGTGGCTGCTGGCCCAGCCGGATTCCCCTTCACTGCAGCCATTAATTCAACCTCACTGTAGATAAATCTGGCTAAGTGATTGTTGCAAAAAAAAAAAAAAAAGTTTAAATATGTTCTTAAGAAATAACATAATCCTCAAAACTTCGTCTGTGCTGTAAGTTCATTCTGATTGTGAGCCTACAGATGCTTGGAGTAGATCCACCTCTCCTCCATATCAGACAAAGTCAGCTGAGGTGGCATAGACATATTTTCTGACGCACCCTCGGTGTCTCTCTCAGGAGGTGTTCCAGGCATGTCTCACAGGGACAAGGTCTAGGGGACGATCCAGGACCCAATTGAAGGACTGTATCTCTCAGCTGGCCTGGGAGGACCTCAGGCTTCCCCAGCAGAGCTGGATTAGGTGTCTGGGAAGAGGAAAGTCTGGCAATCTTTGCTGAGACTGCTGGCCCTGTTCTCAATGAAGTGGAATACCACATATTTCTCCCCTGTACTCTGTGACACCTTTTCATGTTTAGGGTTTATAACACAGAGTCTCAGCTGTTTGTTACATTTTTGTAACTTTTGTTTTTTTTATTGTAAGGCTGTAGTCCTAATTTGATTAGCATCCTCCATGTGCATTTTTTTGTGTGAAAAAATATTAATAAGGCTGAAGTCTGTGTGGATTCAGCACTACAGACCAGAATTATTTTCCTACTCGTAGCTTGGCTAGTGTGCTAACTGTTGCACCAACAAAAGGTGAAGGAAGAGATGCTACAATTTGCAGCATTCAGAGCCAAGGTGTCTAAATGGGACTGGACAGTAAAACCACTAGAGAGTAAAACCAGTTGTGCATTTTTATCTCCGTCACCCACTGGACTGAGGATGTAGTTCAGTTTTTATCAGACTGATTTAAATAATTGCCTCTGCTGTTGCAGAATGTCTGATGGAATTCCCAGGATTCCTTTTACCTTGGTTAAACAAATTCTCAGGCTTTCAGTGGAGAAAATGACTAATAAATGTAATTTAAAGCTCTTTTGAGTTCTTAAACTACTGGCTATTTACTATTTTTTTGGATTACCATTGGTAATCCATGGTTTCTGATTTGCCTCATAATGATCTTGTTTGCAAAGATATCCTCCAAGCATGTCTGGGTGTATGCAGAAACTGATTCAGCATAGTTTTTACATTGGGATGTTGATTTTCAGTTACAGTCTCCCGGAACATGTCCATTCAATGCTCCCAAAACACTCCTGTAATTCTGACACAGATCCTGCAGGCAGGGGCAGATTTAGGGCATTTGGGGCTCTAGGCAAAGCCAGGCAGGGGGCCCTCCGAATTGAGAAGACAACACATAAAACAGACTCTTTATACAGATACAGAAATTTTAATAGCATAGACATACATTGTTTGTTCTATGTTTGTTCCCTCTCTTCTTGTTGTTTTCCTCTCTGTTTTGTACTCAGCTGACTTTTCATGCTGTTTCAAAAGGAATGAAAGATTTTTTCCAAGCACTAAGTTCACTAAGCTGATTGCTCCTTCCTGTGTTTCCAAAAAGGCGATGGCAAAAGTAAATATCATAATTCTTCTTTTCACTGTAGACAAGCATTTATCTGCTTATCTGTTCTCCATTTTTTCATTTGGATGAAATAACAGTTGCACGAATTATGACAGCAGACAAGATAGAGAGCAGGAGGCGGGGTTACCAATCTACTCGCTCTGGAGAGCAGAGTTCGCTGCTTTTACAGGTGCTGGTCATAAAATTAGAATATCATGAAAAAGTAGATTGATTTCAGTAATTCCATTTAAAAAGTGAAAC